GCAGAGTTTAGGGCTGTTGTACATAGGGTCACTATGACTCGCAAGCGACTTGACGGCACATAATAACAACAAACAATAGGCTCTTTACAGTTTTTCTTAGTCTCTCTGCATCATCCTTCCCTCTCTCCAAGAGTTCTATTTCATTTGGAATTCCCCCCCCCCCTTTCCTGTCTTTTATATCAGAGGTTTTCCACAAACTGGTCTTTTGACCTTCAGCCAGTATTCACATTTGAGAGTGAAGTATTAAAAAGCATACTGCAAACTTTACTTGTATGGGTGAGGTATTCTAGTTGGCTGATGAGCTTTCGATGAAGAGAAAGCTTTTTTGATCTGGCCTTTCTGTTGGAACCTCACCCACTTACATCATCCTATGGATGTCTTTTGTCTGAGACCATTCAGTTTCTCCAGAGAAGAATCCTTTAATGTCCTGCCTGGGGAGGTGGACACGTGTCTTCTGAGGACCCCTCCCCCCTTATTCCTGCTCCCTCCACTAAGCCTGCTACCCCAGGCAGTTTCTCTCAAATTCCTCCAGAAAATACACCTTTGCTTGCTTGGAGAGGGGACTCACCTGGCTACATTGGGTGGGTGAGGGCACCTGGGGACCCAATAGATCTATTTTCCTTCAGTCAGGTCACCTCCATCTTCCTTAATAACCATGATTCCTAGGGTAGAAGTTTCTGTGGGGCCAGCTTTTTTCTCAGCTGCATCTTCTGTGGTGATTACTTGATCTGTGACTTACACTATGACAACTTTTTAACCACTTTCTTCCTTAGCCAAATTTGCTAAAATCTTTTGTTGACGTCTCCAAAAAAAAAAATCATTTGCTTATGCAATCATTCATAGCATTGTGTTTTGGGCAGTCATTCATAAACATTGTATTTTGCATAATTACTTACTATTGATCTATGCTAAGTGTTCTCCTTTCTTTATCCTTGTGGGTTAAGATGGCTCTTCATTCCTTTACTAATACTGTAGGAGGGCTCTGGGAGGAAGTAGAGATGAAGGTAGGAAGTTGCTCCTTCACTTTTAATTGCCTGTAAGTCTAGAGAAACGTGCAGTTCCCCTCACTGGCTGCCTGGGGGAACAGTGATGGGAAGATTGTGGAGCCACTGGGAATCCCAGTGCAAGGGCCATTTGCCACTCCTGTGCTGTGTATTTTGTGCCCCTTCATTGGACATTTATTGTCTGACTTTTTGCTTGTCTTCTTGTTTTCCCTCCGCTGTTCCTTTTCTACTTCTCACTTCTTTTGTTCTCATTTATCCTTTGTTGCTGCTTAAAATGACATTTTTCAACAAGTCTTTAACACCTCCCTGAACTAAATGCTTTCTCTCTCCCCACCTTAGCCCACTTTCTGTCAGGAGTAGTGAGCTTCTGTTCCTTTTATCTTCTCATCCATCCCCAGTGCCCTTGCTTTCAGAAAGGCTCCTTGTCATGTCTAGGAGTTACCTGGTGAAGGATACAGACAGGTTCCTCAAAGCCATCAGGCTTCCCTTGGACCTCACAGGACAAACACCCAGCCTAATCCAATAAACTTTCTCTTAACATCTGCTTCTACCCTCTTACTGTTCTTAACTAATTGTACAAACTGAAAGCTCAAGGATCCAACGAGATGGTAGATGGGTCCAGATTGTCACTTTTTCCAGGTGCCTTGGCCTCAGTGTTCGCTCTCCCCAGCACAGGCTGCAGGCCTCCCTGGAAGTGTCGCGAAGCTGCTGTGACCAGCTCTGGAGCTCTCCCCTCCAGTTTCCTCACTGTCTGTATCCACATCAGGGCTGTATGATTAGTCCATCATGTAAACGCCTGGCGTCAGACGTATGGCCTGAGTTTCTCCAAGGCCCAAACAATTACCAAGCATTCCTCTTAGATAGAAGACAGATTTCTTTCCCTTGGCAAAGATGTGCTACAGAGATATTTTACAGGATGTTTTACATTCCCTTGATCTTGTAATAACACCACACCCAAACCAGTATTTGATGCATCAGTGGCCACTATGATGTTGGTTGTTTTTTAAAATATATCTTGTTCCTAAACTGGGGCTCTATGATCTATAAAAAGATACATACCTGTCTCTACCTTTATTTGTCTTTTTTTTTTTTTTAAGCTGAAGATTTTAACTTTATGAAAGCCCCATTACCAGCCAGTTGGTTCTGACTTGTTGTGATCCACTGTTGGGCTTACAAGGCCATAAATCTTTACTGGAGGAGCCATTCTTGGGTAGCACAGCTGGTGGATTCCAGCCACTGTCTTTATGGTTAGTAGGGCAATGTATATAACACACTGCGAGAACTCTTTAACTTATGAAAGAAAGCAGCGAAGATTTTGTAAGCAGGGGAGCACTTCAACTGTTGGAGACTTTCTCTGGCTTCAAATCAGAGTGGATGAAAAGGTGTGCAATTGAAGTGAGTGGCTATTTCCTTTCAAAAACAGAGACTGAGGATCAGGACTAGGAGTAGATCAGCACAGACGTGAAAAAAGTGGCTGTTGTTGTTGCCATGTGCTGTCAGGTGGCTTGGAAATCATAGTGACCGATGTATGCACAGTAGCTCTGCAGCCTGGCCTATGAGCCAGCCTCACTGTCTCTGACACCCCTACTCCCGTAACCCCAGTTACTGTGTTCATCTCTTCCAGGATCTTCCTCTCTTGTTCTGTCACTCCATCGTTCCAAGCATGGGGTCCTTCTCCAAAGACTGGTCCCTCCTGGCAATATGCCCAGAGTTGTCTATACTTTTATGAAGTTGATGACATCTGGGGAAATTGGATCAAACCAAGGTTGGGGACAGGATGGGGGTGGGTTAGTGGTGACTGTGTCAGGGAACATGGAAAGGGCACAGGATGTCTTCGAGGCTGGAAGAGATACTCTAGTTGTGGCATGTGGATAAGCGCATTGAGCTGTATATCTGTGGTTTCAGATACAGCTCAAAGGAAAACATCTGTAAGTATCCCTGGCCTGGATTAGTTAACATCTTTTTTAAATTTTTTTTTTTTTACTGGTCTCACAGTGGTTCTGGGAGAGTGAAGTGACCAGTTCCATTTACAGGTGAACGTGATGCAATTCAAAGAAGCAAAATGACTTGCCCTGGGTCATCATGGACTCACAAGGCTAGGGTTTAAACCCAGGTCTCCTGACTCCAAACCCATGGCCCTTCTGCCCAACAGCTGCTTCCTGAGCCCCTTCTCTGGACCTTTTAAGCAAAACAAGCTCGCTTCCTGCCGTTTAGGGGACAGGGATGTTAGTGGGGATTGACTCACTGAGGTTAGCTATTCCCATTGGATAATTTCCCCAGGTTGTCACCCAGCCTCCTGTTTCCTTTTGCTGGGACACAGATCAGAGGTGTCCTGGCTCTGTATAAACTCACGTTGTGACCCCTGGTGAATCATTTTCCTTTCTGGCTTTCACCTCCTTCATTGTGAGAAAAGCACATAGGGATTCAGTGGTTCCCAAACCTCCTGGTTCAAATCACTGGGGGGTGAAGGGCGGGGGGGGGGTGTTTCTAAACTTGATACATGAGAATGATTGTAGGAAACAGTGTGAATGAAGAAGAGTGTGAAAAGCAATGTATACCGAACTTTGTAAGCAAACCAATAAAAAAAAAGGGGGGGACCCCCAAACAAAAACACTGCTTAACTAAGGCAGATTTTACATGCCATATAAGTAATTAATTTCAATTATACAATGCAGTAGTTTTCAGTACATTTACCAAGTTGTGCAACCATCCCCGTAGAGCAGTTTGAGAACATTTTGGTCACCCCAGTAATATTCTGTATGCCCATTTATTGCTAATCTCCATTTCCAGCCCCTGCTTTAGGAAACCAGAATCTATCTGCTTTCTGCCTTTTTGGGGGATTTCATGTAAATCAAATAATATGAGATGTGGTCTCTTGCGGCTGGCTTCTCTCGTTTGCGTCTGGTTTTTGAGGTTCGTTCACAGGGTGGCGTGGCGCAGTAGTCTTTATTGCTAAATAGTACCACTGTACAGATATGGTTTGTCTATCTCTTCACGCTTTATCTTCTCATGGGCAGTTGGATCGTTTCCAGCATTTTCGCTCCGCTGAGTAACAGTTCAGAGAGCATTTGAGTGCAAGTCTTTGTGCAGATAGATGCTTTTATTTCTCTTGGATAGATTCCGGAGAGTGGAATTGCTGAGTCATATGGCCAATTTATGTTTAACTTTTCAAGAGGTTGCCAAATTATTTTCTAAGTGACTTTACCATGTTCTGTTGCCATCAGCACTGAGTAAGGGTTCCCTTCAGGAGTGTTTAAAAAGGCTTCCTAGCTGAGTCCTGTCCCCCAGAGATGTAGAGTAGGCCCAGGAATGCACGCTTAACAAGTTTGCCAGGTGAATTCACAGGCATCTGGTCAGGGACTGTGTTTGGGTCCATTAGACAAAGTAACCTCTGAGGCCTCCCTGAGGCCAGTGGTTTCTATTATTTTGGGGTCCTGGGGCAAAACCTACATTCTTGGAGAGTCTCTGTGGCTTAGAGAAGCAGTTATGCAGGAGAGGGTTAATGAAATTAGCTAAATAACATGCAGCAATCTTTGCACCTGTTTGTGTCCTTGGTTTCAGAAGCATAAAACTTTACCACAGGTCTTTATGCATTAACATGCTATAAAGCCAAAATCCTATTGCCATTGGAGACAGTATGCTAGGTACAATAAGCCAGTCACAAAAGGACAAATACTATGTAAGACCAATATTATAAAACTCTAAAGAAAGTTTTGCACACATATAGAATCTTTTTTTTTTCTTTTCTTAAGGAAATACTTTATTGACAACCAGGGGCATAGCCTTTAGAAGGGAGCAACTAAAACCCATCAATTAGCAAGAGCCTTTTGGGCCAGGCACATTGCATTCTGGGGTCCTTTTAGTCTCCCAACAGTAGATGCACAAGACTGGGCATCCAGGGAAGGGGACAGTGACTCTAGGCTCCCAGAGAAGGAGAGGCTATATGATGCCTCATTATAATTGACAGAGTAAAGAGTAAAATGGAGGGAGGGTCCATCACTGCCTAAGGCCACCTCCTCCTCTCAGAGCCAGTACAAGGTAGAGGACTGAACCACCTAGGATCTTGTAATCAGCTGCTGTCTTATCACTCATCAGTTTGCCACTGTAGATGAGTCGTTGCTGCTGTGGGAGGATTTCCTCTTTTTCTTCCACACGCTCCTTGCTTTGCTCCTTGTCTGTGGGTTCAGTGTCAGTTTCTATCTCCTTTGTGGTCAGGGTCTTCACTTTAATGACCATCTTCTTCCCAGTTTAGGCCTGTGCACTGATGAACTCCTGCCTGTATCGCTGAGGCCACTGCTGCACTCCCCATAGAATCATTCTTGTAGGATTCCTAGGGAGGAAAGAGAGGGAGAGGGAATAAAAATTAATAAACAAATCATAGACACTTAATAAGATGGGGGGAAGGGAAAGACAATACAGAATAAATAGACGATCAAATAGTATTGTAAGTAAGGTTATAAAACAAAATGTTTTATGAGTGATTGAATGAATAAAAGCAATAGACATGGTAAACTTTCACTCAAATCACATTTTAAAAAATGCTTAAAACCAATTCATTCAAGTCTTTTTTTAAAAAAAAAAGAAATCTAGATTCTGTATGTTCTCTTTGATTGCTTTGCAGGGTTTAATTTCTTTATATAAAGTCTGATAGCAGAGGAACATACAAGAGCCAAGCTAAATCCTAAATTAAGGAGTTATGAGCAAAATAATAAAATAAGTAGATTGTGCTGGCAAGTTGTAAGAGAGTTTCAGAGTGCCCTTGATAAACATCTCCCAGCTTCTGAAACCAACAGCCAGGAGGATCTTACTGCTCTAAGATTTTATCATTATCCAAAATTGTGTATCCTAAAAGGGATATATCCAATTAAACTCTTGCTGTTTTAAGCTGAACCGGAGGAAATCTTCAGATAGCTCAGAAAAATAGTATTAGAAAATGAGTATTAAAGTACTTCTCAAAAGAAATCATAAGAGTCACTTATAATCACCCCAGATATGTATTAGTATGTTGTGGTGGCCATCACACTGGGTTTGACTCATAACTGACTCCAGAGGGTTTTCAGAGGCAGTAAATGTCACAGGAGGAGATTACTCATCTTTTTCCCCCAAAATTGCCTACCTTTGGGTTGTCAGTGCCTCTCCTTACCACTAGGCCACCAGACTCCTTCTCTACTATTATAGAATTGGGAAACTAAATTGTAATCTAGGCGTGGAAGGAGGAATGGCATCCACTTCCATAATAGCTTGCCTCTGGAAACCCTATGAACCTGGAGAGAGGAGGAAGGCACCCAAGCGTCGAGGACTCTCCTTCATAGGGTCACAATGAGTCGCCTGCGACTCAAAGGCACTTAACAACAACAACAACAACAACAAATTGTAATCTACCCACTTGATAGAATATTAGTAGCTACATGAATAATTTTTTAATTTAGAAGCATCAACACAAAGCTGGTTCATATGATATAGAGGCCAAAGATGTCCCAGATGTCTAACTTTTCCAAACCACTCTATCACTCCATCATCCCAACATCATCTCGTCCTCCTCCCCTCAGTGCCCTTCTTCCCATCTTGGTCTTTGATCTTGGCTGAGGCAGTGTCTCATACAACTCACAAACTGTCAGGGAAATGGCTGATATCACTGTAGAACTTCAGTCTGAAAGGTTCTCCTAATCCATGTGCCCGCACTAGCTGATGAACCCAAATCTACAGGCCCACAGCTCACAAGGCTGCTCACAAGACTGTGGGAGTGACTGGTGAGTTAGGTCAGCTAATAGACCAGAGGTCAGACAAAGATGAATCAGAAGCAGGATCCAGAACAAGAAAGCAAACCTTCCCAGAGTGTTCTTACTATATATCATGTGCACACCACACCCCTTGGGAAACTAAGACTGGTGATTTGAGTCATACTCACTAGTAACAGAGGGACTCAAGGTGCATCCTACCCACTGTTGCATCATTAACATAACAGAGAACTCCCTCTTAAAGGGGACCACAACTACTGACAGAGAATATGGTTACTGTCTCACGCAGTGGAGAACTGTGGTTGGATGCAGGACTCATTGCCACCTGGTGGGAACTGACCCATAGCTGACCCTCCAGTGCGTTATCAGAAATTGTGTATCATACGACAGGTGATTGTCCACCTTTCTCTCTAGAGCACCTGGCAGATTTCAGACTGCACCGCCAATCCGCTTGGCCACCAGAGCTTAAGGCTAGAAGGACTGTTACCTCACTGCATCACAGCAGCCATTAAAAAGGATGTTCTAGGTCTCAATTTGGCTTAAAATCTGTTTAGTGTATTACTAGGGAACTCTGGTGGCTTCATGGTAAGGAGTTGTGCTGCCAACCCAAAGACTTCGGTTCAGACCTCCCAACTGCTCTGCAGGAGAAAGATGGACAGTCTCCTGCCTGCCTCTGAAAACCCATTGGAGGGTCCACTCTGGGTTAATTCCAATTTAACAGAACAGAACAACGATATGTTATTAAATACAAAAGACAGGTTAAGTAAGCAGATGAACCCTGCTTTTATTGTGTGGTTACAAACAAATGTTAATGGCATTTTTTCCAGAATGACAAAATGAAAGCTTTCCCCTTTAATCTTCATGTGTATCCATAAGTAAATCCAAACAAACATATAGATTAATCTTGTATGAAAGAAAAGTTGTAGGTACTTAGGAGAACATGATCTTAAGGCAAAGATGTTTCCCTTGGAACTTGCATTGAGATAAAGATTACTTCAAATAAAGCAAGTTCTATCCTGAGCTCATCTCCTCTTTGAGTATCACTGGTCTAGGACACCTTGTAGTTCCCCTCCCTCAGCCAGTACAGGGGCCAAATCATGGGCCTAGTTAGACTCAGATTATAGAGCAGTGGGACAGAAAATTAGCCACAGAAGAAATGTGGTCAAAATGCTCCTCAGAAGTGAGAATGGCAACTGCTCAGTCTTGATTACTTTGGACAAGTCGTCAAAAAAGATCAGTCCCTAGACTGAAGCAGAATGTTGGGTAACAAAGAGTATAGATGAAGGCATGGAAGGTCCACGATGCTATAGATTGACCCAATAACCACAGCAGTCAGTGCAAACCTGCCAGTCATCACGGAGATGGAGTTGGGCCTGGTAGCATTTAGTTCTGTTTCACACATGTCAACATGAATTGGAGCCAGCTTGACAGCAATAATAGTGACAACAAAGACAGGAATCAGGCATGCCAGCACAAACTGTATTTTTGTAAATCTCGCCAAGTCATTGTTGCTTTGACTAAATAGAGAATGGCAAGGCCAATGATAAATGGCTCCTAAAGTTAGAAAAAAAATGATGGATCTGTCTCAGCTTATGAATGTGAAACCCTCAGAAGTTAGAAGTCGGTAATTTGAAGTCATACATTTCAGATTCAGTTTCTACTTGGTTTTGCTTTTCTACAAATTATTTCTGTGGACCTGTTTAATATTGGTATTTGAAACTTGGAAATGCTACTTCTAGAATCTTTTCTTTCAGGTTCTTCCATCGTACTGATAATTCCTCTCTACTGGAGTCTTACATGTAAAGCTACCAGTCTTGGTGACCCTTCACATAACTGGGTTCTATATAAATATCTTGATTCCCATGAAAGGATATTTTAATGGTGTTACAGGTTATTAAGAATCTAGGCTGGTCCGATGGTAGTGGGTTATCAGAAACTATTAACATTAGTGCAACTAAAGTTGGTATACAACCCCCCCCTGCTGAATTTTACTGGCTTTAAAAAAAACAAAAGAATCTTATGGAGTAACTCTGACATCGCTGTTGGAAGAAATATTTGCCTATAGGATGCTGTCCCCAGGAAAATGTAGGTTTGGCCTGCCTTAGCCACGATCTTGAGGATCACTTGGTCCTCAGGGAAGAGCACTAGGGACAGAGCTGATGCAGCTGCCCACTGCTCGCCTTTTTACACAAAAGATGTCTTCCAACAAGTCCATCTCTTCTAAGAACCATCCAGAAGGTGACCTCTCCAAAGAAGCACACCAGCATAACTAGTCCATGAAAAGACGTGGAACGTTCACCTCTTTGTGAAATGTGATGGAAGTTCTGCCCACATGTCTATGGCTTGTGACTGGGGGAGCCTTTGGCCAGGACCGTCAGTGTTCCTTTTCACCAGGTGACGAGTGAAGAAGGAAGGTGTGGTGACTAGAGTTCCTTTTACAGGTTACAAGATGCCGTGACAATTGTCATGTTATCCTAGATTCTCCTGAGTTGAGTTCAAGAGAGATGTTATTTATTCTGAATTTTTTTCTTTCTAGAAAACAGCATTTCTTAGATTAGCTAGTGTAGTCATAAATGGGTTATTGTCCTGAGTACTTAAAAATATTTAGCAGTGCAATTTTCAATCTTATCACTAAAATTTCAGCCAAAACTTCTTTTTCTCATCCAGCCTGAAGATTATATCTGAGTTTTCCACTGGGGAAAGCACAAGAGCATTATCGAAAACTTGGAGATAATTTTCGGAGAGCTTAGGTGCTGCTGATGTGGAAGGTGCCTGAAGGGGTTTCTAATGATATCTGACCTTGTGAGGGATAAAAATCCATCCCACCTAAGAGAGTCCTGCTGAAAATAAGTAACCAGCATGCACATTTGCCCCTTCTCAGACCATTCATCTCCCCAACACACTCATGGGTGAGTGTGCAAAGAATGGTAGAATCAAAAAGCCCATTAATCATCCTGGCATCATGATCTCATGTTGTTATGCAATAAATATGCTTACTAAATGGATGCAGATGCTATCAAGACTATGTTTCCAATAAAGATCATTTCGCTCTACTTGGCCCGCGTCACAAACACGTGAGGCTTGTTTGTAACACCTCCCTTCCATGAAATGCCGATAATGTTGCACTTCTTCGTTCTGCCTCTTTCCTGAACCACTGTGCCGCTGGTGAAAGGTGGGTGAGTGTTTCCTGATAAGGATGCTGGGGAAAACCCTCAGCATGTAGGAAACTCCTCTCCATGAACCATAGCTGCTGGATGACAGGAAAGTGGAAATTGCATGGCCAATCACCTGCCGACCTGGAACACAACGTTTTCCCTCTGCTAATCTTCTTGGCCCTGTGTCAAAGCCCAAATTCCTGCTGAAGACTTGACCAGTCCCCAGAGGACATATTGAAGTCCGCGATGAAACCCTGCAATCTGCTGTGTAAGGATGGATGGTGCAGAGATGGAGACATGCTCAATTACTGTCAAACAGCAGGTCTAGACGTGGGTGAGCTGA